TATAATGGAGTAAAGGTTTATGTATAGCCTAAAAGGGAAGAAGGAAGCAGAGAGTAGAAGAGTTGGGCTTAATGGCAAGGTTTAAGAGGTTACTTGAGCCAAATAAATATTATTCTTCAAAAATGTATATCCAGCTTAAGTGAATCCAATAGGAAGGAGTATACATTATGGAAAGTAAAACATAAGATATAAGTATGAAAAGCAAGTAGCCAGAGACTTTTTTTATTATATATAATATCTTAATGCAAGAATCCTGAGGAGAATACTGCTGCAGAATTATCAGGAAGCTTAAAGGAGCAATTGAATGCTGAAGAATATTACAGAGAAAATGAATTATTCATTTGCATCGTCAACAACAAGATGTTGGAGGAGATCCAAAGTCTCTTTAATTAGTTATGTAGATGACCACTTCCACGATTGCATTAGTTAGGATTAAGAAAAAATACATGTTTTCGGGGTATTAAACCAACCATCGATCCAGGTAAGAAGAAAATTTCCCTATAAACTTATTTTAAAAGCATCTGGTACTGGCTACTGTCATCTAGGCTGCTGGACTGAAATAACAACTGGTTTGATCCAGTATGGAAACTGTTATATTACTAAATAGTGGGAGCAATCAATCCCTGGCACTTACATAAGATGCTTTCTCCGAAACCATCCCCTCTCCATTTAACCACATCAAGTATATAAGATCACTGTAACATTTTTTCATATCAGAAAAATTGATTTGTTTGTTTCCATTAAAGGTGGATATTTCCCTTAATGTGGAGCAGTTAGAAGAAGAAATTTCTTTTTTAAAGAATACACACAATATTAAGACAAAAATGGCTACTCTAGTGTCCTGCTCTAATCAAAGTAAAGTGAGAAAAACCAGCAGTACTTACTCATCTGAAAGTTACAGCGAAAATGTGAAGCTGCTGATGGATTGGGTCAATGCTGTTTGTGGGTTTTACAATACTAAGGTAAGTAGTCCTGTTTTTTTGTGTATATATTTCCAGGTTTTGTACATCTGCAAGTACATTTTCTTGTAATGGGAACTGTTTATATAAGTCTTTCAACACTATATCTGTTCTATCAAATATATATTGATTAATACTGATCTGTTACAAGCATTGTAATGGATGAAGTTCTCAGTCTTACTTGGACTATCCCAGTGGTGAAACGTCAGATATCCAGGATGTGTTTTCATGGGTCCAGTTGCATTTCTATTATTTTTAATACATTCTCCTAATAGAGAATTCCCACAGTGAATGTGTATACTACCTGCTTGGCTACATATCAGCCCAGGGAAATCCTCCCTCTATTAGTGAGCAAGCAGAATAAACTCTTTGAAAGACTTCCTAGAAGGATCTCATTGGTGACTGATTCCAGTCTGTGGAAAAGGACATGTTCTTAATGAGCCTTTTGGTCCAAAATAATTCCTCCACTATATAAGTTTTTCATAACCTTCAGGAACTTCAGGCACTAAGATTAATATTAAAGATAGTCATGTGAGTATTTGTCCCTCCCCAAGCAGTCATATCATTTTTACAAGAGGTAGGGTGTTTCTTACGGACAGGGAGCAAGGAGTGAAACCCTCTTCAAGGAGACTTACTGCTCATCAGAATGGCTGACACACCTGCACACTTTAGGAAAGCAAAATCTAACTTAATTATTTTAAGCTTAGGAGGCTTCAAATTCATTTCCCAGGCATTGCCATTTCTGAGTCCTAATCAATGAAGCCTCCTTCCTCTCTGAACTTGTGTATTTTCCTCTGTTTCTGTCTCAAGTGCATCCATGCTTTCTTCTCTTTAATACTTGTGTATGTGGAATGTCATCCCTGATATTGTGTGTCTCACAATCCGTCTTCATTTAAATGCCTTTGGTTTGTGTGAGGGATTGTGACCATTCTTTAACTCCCATAAATAAAAATCAAGGAACTAAGATGATGGATACTGTACCACCCAAGCAACTCCATAGCATTTTGTGTATTCCTTTCTCTATTCTGCTTGTCTTGCTTTCCTAATTCTACTTCTCTACGTATTCTTGCTTTCCAAGATAGTAGTCGGTTGGCTAAGTATGTTTAAGATTTATGGGCTACAGGTGTTTATCTTATTCTGAAAATATTTAGCACATTTTTGACGCTGGTAAAAACATCAGTAACATATTATGCTATAATATAGAGCAGGGGTTGGCAACGTTTGGCACGCGGCTCGCCAGGGTAAGCACCCTGGCGGGCCGGGCCAGGCCAGTTTTATTTACCTGCTGACGCGGCAGGTTCGGCCGATCGCGGGGCCCCCGCTGGCCGCGGTTTGCCGTCCC